CTCCCAAAGATGAAAAGTCATCCTTCTGTTGTGCAGTGATGCTTCTCCCCTGTGATCAGTGCTGAGGGGAGGTGGAATATAAAAGTTAATCTTTCTGTGGTGATGGTTTTATGTACCAGTAGCACTCAGTGCTTTATAGCCCTTCACCAAACACCGCCCTGAAAATGTGAATTTCCCCAGTGTGGTATTACTGAAGTCTTATCTTATCTTAAATTATAACCAGGTAGAAACATGACCTCTGCTGTCATCCCGTTTTTGGAACGCCAGAGAAGGTATTCCAAAAATCAAAGTTTTTTTTACTTTTGCACGTAATTATTTATCTGACTTTGAAAAAATTGGTTTGTCTTAAAGGTGAAGTGTAACGTTGTTAAAACCATCAAGAAATGTAAACTCTTTCACATATGATTGTTTTTTTAAATATATACTTTTATCTAAGAACAGAACAGCAGCCCCTTCAGGTTGACACTGAACAAAGAGAACAACATTAGCGCTCTCCCAACAGACTCTACACCAACCCTGAAACAGCATGAGGTACTGCGCTGACTCAGCAGCGTTTGAACTCCATCGAGGACAGTAATTTGATGACTGTGATCAGAGCGGAGCAACAGTGGATACAGGGAGGAACAACGGCGACACTGTAAACTGGCTAAAATTCGACTTATCAGTTTCTTTCCTGGCAAAGAAACCCGACGCGTCCTTGTTCTGTTCTATAAATATCCTTTTCTCCTCATCTTTCGGGGCTCTGTCACCTGCCTGCCTCTCAGCCTTCATTACATCCCTGTTCACAACATGGTAGTTTTTTTTGCAAAGGGCAACAGTGCAAGTCAATCATTGTGACAGGTGGAACAAAAGCACATCATGCTCTGTCAGATGTGTGATGTGATGTGAGCGACTGACGCACATCTTTGTGCCAATGACCACACTGGAATAACAGCTACAAGTGTTGAGCCACCCATGTGTGTTTGTTCGATTTGAACTCCACGAACTACGAAAATATTTATTTTTATTATCAAGAGTCAAGATGAGAGAGTTCTAAAAGTGTGAGTCTGTGTGTTTGGTCTAACAGACTGAATTGGTACAACTTTAAAACAGCTCCAACGTCCGCGATGACATTTTTAGATCAGCTTCCTAATTTGGCTCATCCTATCTTTTCTCTTTTCTTTCCCCATCTTTTTATTTTCTTCTCTTTTATCCGTCACTGTGGAAGGACCAAAGGTCGCTCGTCCTATTCCTAAATCAACTTTCGGCCTTTCAAAACATCAAGAGTCTGACTTACGCCTGGGAGCCACAATGAAGGGAAAAAAGTTTCCAAAAAACAAACGAAAGACAGCGAATGCAGCACAATCCAAAGTATGACGAATATTTCATTTAACTTTTAGTCAGAATAGCAGAATATTTTATTTCAACCGCTGACTTTACGCCGTCACGCTGACTTCAGCCGACTGAAGGCGCCGCACTTAAATGACACGCACAGCGAAGTGATTAGACAGCCACGACATTATTTTTGGAGCCATCACCTTGCCTGTAGGTGGAGGAGGTGGAATAAGTATTCATTCTCCGTCACCGCCTGGAAAAGAAGCACTCTAGAAATCTGGTGAGCCCACTTACCACCGTAATAAATACCCAGAGAGCCGAGGGACGCTGGGAAGACAGAGGAAGGGGAGCGAGGGAGAGAAGCTGATGATGAGATAAGAGGGACGGTGCAGAGAGGCAGTAAGTGGAAGGAAAGAAAAAAAAACAAAGCAGAAGTGGTAAAAATGTTATTAATTCAATTAAGCTACACGGAATGAAATGATTGAGTATGACGGGGGGAAAAAAGAGTAAATGACAAATGTCCTTAATTCTTTTTTTAGGAGGACGTTAAGGAGTTGGCTAGAGCTGGCAGCAGGGCCTTGGCACACACGGAGCTGTGAGCCTGACGCAGCCCGGAGGACAGTTTCCCCCCTTGGTTCTGTTTATTCTACATGGCCATTGATGTGAGTTACGACCCAACGCTTAGGTAGACATAGCAAACATCTGCTAGCTGATTGGCTCATAAATTCGAGCTGCCTCCTAACGCCTAGCCTTTATTGTGTTGTCAGTGGTCAAATGGAAACAATAAGAAATCTGCACCAACAGGCTCGCTCCACATTTCTGTGGCCAAAAAAAACATGACATGTATATTGTAGCGGTCCAGCTTTGACTGCCGCTACAATAAAATACCATCCATTCAGTCAATACATGAGAAATGACTGAGGACGGCAGCCCAAGACGGTTCAATCACTTCACTATGCAAGACAACGCAGTCTTCCACAGGAGATCTGTGACCCCAGAAGGCCAGCAGAGGAACTGCACTGTACATTTTTGGTGTTTTTAAAAGACAGTTACTAATATTTTCCCCATATTTGGAATTAAAATATGAATATTTAAAATTGAGTATTATTGAAATAAGTCGAGGATTATTCGCTATCCATTTCCTATATGAAACCCTGTCTTATTTAGTCTAAAATTATTATGAAATTGATTGATTGATGCAGGCATTTTTAGCCATAGAACTACATCATAGTGTAACGCAATTTTTATCTTAGTTTTTTATAAGTGTTGTAATTACTGATTGTAACACATGCTAATCTAAGTCGCATATATATCATGTAATCACAGTGAATAATAGGGAGTTGCATACGCATATATATATATATATATATATAAATACATATAATAGGACATATTATAAGTGCTTCTCTTATGTAATTGGTTCATTTGCATTTACTTGTCTAATGTTGTCCGGATTTTAAACTTGGCGTGCGCCGAGTCGCAATACGACACCGAAGAAGACAATTATGGGACAACAAGTCAGGCTGCACGGCTGTTCTGTTTTTCTTCCGACATAATGAAGGGATTTTGTTAAAAGAAATAACAGGGATTAACACAACGCGGTAAAAACGGACCAAACGTGAGCAGAGAGTGGAGGAACAAAAGACAAAGAGGATCAGCTGCCAACATTTCTGTCAGGTATCATATGACAGGTCCGTCCTCTGGTGCCGTGGCCATGTTTGCCGTCCCGTGGCATGTGACGATATCAATATATTTGTCCAAAACACACTGCATTGTCTTTCTTTGAAGCTGCAGGAAATACACGCCCACTATAAAAACTGTCCAAACTTTCATAGCTTATGTGTCTTAACCAGTGCTCCACCATGATTGGCTAAAAATCTCTTTGTTTATGATTGGCTAAAAATCTCTTTTTTCACAATCATAAAAAAGGCATAAATGTTGTTGGAGGTGTACAGCTACTGCAGCTCAGTGCCTGGTCTAGCCTAGCCAGGGTGCTGCTAGTGTTACCTGCTAATACCAGATGTACTGTATTTCTTAAGTCTCGTTGTCATGGCATGGTTATTTGTAGCACAGGAAGTTGTTTTTAGTGTAAGTGTAGTAGCATACAGTCCATAGAGTAGTACAGGCAGTATTTATACCCATGTCTCTACTGCCCTTGAATTGATTCAAATAAATCAAACTTAATTATCAATTCTGTTAGGTATTCAAGTACACATCAGTCTAAGTAACAACAACAGCAATAATTAACCATTAACTATATATAGAAGAGGCTGAAGTTCATCTCTCTGGATATGGATGATTAGTAATAATACTGAAATGAACTTCCGACTGTAGCAGTAACCACTGAAGAACAGAATTGAAAAGATAAGCGGTGGTAATTTCAGGTTTCTTTGCAGCATCACATTACACACACTATATTTAGTTAATTCTGCACTGCACACTGTAGGTCACACACACACACACAGAGAGAGGCATCACCATGTAATCCCTGCTCTCTGACACTAAGGTCAGGGCAGTGGCAAGAATTAAAGCTGCTTAAAGTCGTTACGTAAGACGTGCGGCTATTCCAAAATTAGTCACATGTAAATTGGAAACAACACAACTAGTGGTCAAAGCAGTGATGTTCAGGCACGTAAATCAGTGTGATTCTATTTCTGATTTCATGAGTCGATCATTTAAATTGTTGCAGGTGAATGGTGATTACCTTTGACTCTGGTTGGTTGGGCACGGTGGCCTGTGGTCGCTGAAGGTCCCTGCCCTGGGGCTCATTCTCCATCTCTGTAATTTCCGTCATTTCGGAGCAAATCAATGAATCGATCAATCAGTTACTATGTTAAAGAAGTCCCCCCTTTTTCAGCAGAAACTTGTTTCGAGGACGGTGAAATCCACAGCGACAGTCAGAGAGGATCTAAGCCCACCGAGTTTCAAACATCTCTACTGTGCGGCGTCCGTGGAGGCAGAGCGCGTCATCGTCCATCCAAATGGGATCGGTCTGGGACCAGGAAACTTTGACATTAAACAGACTCTGGTCCAAAGCTGTTTGTCTGTGAATTTCAGACTAAAAGGAGAAGAATGTCCAGGGAGCTGCGGTTTAAGACAGTGTGCGCCTCCTCTCCTCTCCTCTGCTCCGCTCCTCTCTGCTAGTTTCTCTCCTCCTGCACACACATACTGTATTTACACGCTTTTACAACAACTATAATTTGGTCCAGGCAAAATGTTCCACTGGTTGTGATTGGTCTGCACAGGCTGGGGCTGGAAATACGACATGACTTGGATTTCGGGTGCAGCGCCCCAGGATTGGCTGAGACACGGTGACGCCGAGACGCAGGAGGAGGAACGGGAGTCAGGTGGAACCAGTTGATGAGCAGATGAGTCAATTATCACGTTAAACAGTGTCATTTAGACACGTCTTCTACCTGGAATAAACAAATGAAAGTCATTATGACGACGAGTCGTTCTTTGTTTTCGGTGGTATCGTATGTAAATGTAGTAAAAAGTCATCCGTTGGATGATCACTCTTAAAGGTGCAATGCATGAGATTTTTATAATTATTATGATTATTTTTACAATTTTGGTTATATTTGATTGTGCATTATGTAGAACACCTGATTTATTTAAAGAACCAAACAACAGTTCTCCATTTTAATATAAATGGAGAACTGGAATATATATATATATATATATACCTAGGATTTAAGCAATATAGTATGGTATGTGACGGCAGGATACCTCTAAATCCAAAGAATGGCTACCTTTTACTTTGGTGATTGAATCAGTCACAGTGAAGGCAACATCAGCAAATGTTTTCATACAGAATGGCTGTCTCAGACACTACTTTGAAAGCTGCTGTATTAAAAAAACAAACAGTCAATGAGTATAAAACTCTTCACTGGTGGAAGATGGCACACATGGAGTCAAATACAAACACTGCCCATTGACTTATCTTTCCTCAATTGCTGTGAGCACATAATAAAGTATTCTGTCTTATAAAAGTGAAGCATCTCCAGAAAGCTTGACAATTCCCCACTGGGTGTTAAGATGACAGAGCACTGTCTCACACCTCACCTCAAAACCTCCCACAGCTGCTGTACTGATGACTCAGATCATTCCTATTCATCATCACTATAACCTACATGGAAGCGCATCGTTGTCGCTGTCTGCATTAAAAAAAAATCACAATAAGTGTATCCCTTTACACTTATTACACAAACACATCATCTTGACAGTAAACACAGTCCAAAGCTGTTTTTCTTTCTATGCAAAAATGCTTCGCCCTGAAGACCCCGCAATAAAAACCTGGACCTAAAATCGTATTGTAAAGAATTACAAGCCAGCACTGCTTGGATTAAGAGCAATGTCTGGGAGCCAGAAATGATTAGAGTGAAACAACCGTCCACTAACTGCAGGAGCCCCAGTGGCTGAGCATGGGTGGCTGATTCAGCACCAAGGACAGCTCCTCTGCTGCTCAGCTGCCTGTGCTCTGTGGAACAGTCCGCTCTGTCTGCACGGTTACATGGAGTCAAACCGGTTCTGTTTTCTCCACGCCTGCCTGTCTGTTTTTAGTTTAATTTATGGTAGAATTTATCGTTTGTCCAATTGCATTCCAACTGCTGTCTAATCCATCCATCAATTTCCAAAGTCATCTCAGTGTGCCATTCATTGACTAGAACAACAACTATTAACACGCCTCTTATCTAAGTTTCAATGAAGAATAAACTGGTATCAATAACTGAAAACGTTTGCTGAATTTCTCAATCATGTAGATTTCTGAGTCGGTGCCTGTATTTCTACAGTTTTTTAATAATATATAGCCTATAATATATAATATAGAAATGCAGGCAAAATTTAAACGCATTTCTCAGGACAAAAATATGACTGTATGCACTTTTTCGCTTCCCTTTTTTTTTCTTTTTATAAGCTTCCATTTTTCGACTGTTGTGTGAAACTGAAACTCAGCAGAGGCTGACAGTGTGCTAGGAGCTCCTGTCATTCTTTACCACTTCAATAATATTATGTTACAGTGCAGAAGGGTACTTTTGCAAACCGCAGACTATTTTTATCACCGTTTTCTCCAAGTTGAGAAATAACCTTTGGTTATATGTTAATGTGTTTGTCAATAATTTTACAACAATCCACAGGAAGAAGAAAAAAATAATACCCAGTTGTGCTCCCTCTCTCTTTTGCTCTGGCTGATTTTTTCTGCATTTTGCAGCATCATCTTTTATTAACTGCTCAGGGGAATGTTTTTCGCTCTACTTACGATACACTATCCCCGACCCACTCATCTGCTCTTTTTCCAGTCTCTCTCGCTCTCTCCCTTTCTCTGTCTTGTTCCATTTTTTTGCAGTCACACGGAGACACTGTGCACATTTGACCTCTATGCTGGTGGTCCTGCCAAATATATATATGTGGAAGATGTGGATGTGAGAGGAAAAATATGCGTTGTAGCCCAGAACATGTCAAAACCAAACATATATATATATAAATATATATAGATATAAATATATATATGTATATATATATATATACACACAGTGTATATATATATATATACACTGTGTGTATATATATATACACACAGTGTATATATATATACACTGTGTGTATATATATATACATATATATATTTATATATATATATATAAATATAAAAATACAAAATCTATACATAAATAATGTTTGGATTTGACATGTTCTGGGCTACAAGGCATATTTTTCCACTCACATCCACATCTTCTAGCCAACTGCAGTCACTGCAGTAGTTGCTGTATTGTCTGCCTGTGTAAAAATGTGAATGTGTGTGTGTGTGTGCGTGCGTGCGCACATGAGTCACACCGTCATATACAGTATGTGTCATTCATCTGGAGAGAAAAGAAGGAGCCAACAAACAGCAGGCATGTTCAGCCCTGTTTCGGTGAAGGGTGATGTGTGGAGGGCGGGGCAGGACGGGGTCACAGAGTTTACGTTTTATACACCTGGAACTGATTTCCTGATCGTTAACGTGAGTCTCTTCTGTAAATGACACATTTGACTGCTGGAGGCTGAAAAGTTAATAAATAGGTTGTTCCTCCTGCAGTTGTCCGCAGGGGAAAATGACTTCTGCAGAGAGAAGAGCTGTTATAATTGGTGTTAGGTGTCATGGAAGTTTTTTGTGGAAAGTTTGGCATGGGAATAAAGGGAGAATGTCACACATTTACCACATTAAGTCAGAGAGTTGCTGTTAATAAAAACATAATGTGGATCTGAGATGAGCTGTGTAACATCTACCTGAACGACTACAGCAGCTGGAGGTTACAGGACACCTCCTACAGCTGCATAACTCAATAATGCAGTTTTGGTAATGAGGGCACTGTGTTTCGAGAAGTACTGCCAGGATTGGCCATGTCCCAGATAATTTCAGCACTCCATGACTCAAACTGTAAATCTAATCCTGAGCTGGCCGTGACAAGTGCCCTCGTCAGGGGAAGGGGGAGGGGGTCACTGACGAGCGCACCACAATTTATCCTGTCAGGGGCAGCAGTTTCGTGGAGATGTCATAATTTAAACCATGACAGGTATAGTGTGAATCAGTCGGTAAGATGTGAACTTAGTCGTGGGGCGAAGCCATTGAGGAAAGAAAATAATAATTTGGAAAACAAGGAGATGATGATGTTGTAAAGAGTTCAATGGAGACAATCGTAGTAAACCAAACAGTGTTGACATTCCAATATGTGATAGCAGCACAAATGACCATGAGCAGTAGTATCTAGTCAACAAAATACACTATGAAAAAAAACAAGTGTTAAACAATAGGTTAATAATAGAACTAAAAAACAATAAAATTAAACAGTGCAAATTTTAAATGTAATTTTATCAACAACTCCAATGTACTCTTAACGGCTTTCTTTATAAGTCAATACAGATTTCCTTGAATTTGTATCTAGGAGGAAGTGAGTCAACCTTACTGTAGCACAATAGGTAAAAAGAAAAAGGCTATTTTGAAGAGAACTTGGTTTTTTTTTTAAATTTAAATGAAAAAGCTGAATCTAACATCTTTGGTGTACAAAAATAAAAACACATCCCAGCATCCGGGCTCTATCTGGGTCAAACGTTAACCTACTAACTCCTGATTGAGACAAATCTCTTTCATGACGTAACAACGCAATGTCTGTGCAAAACAGCCTTGTTTTTCTTTATTTTTTCCATTTATCACTTTGAAGAGTTTTTCCAACATTAGCCTGCTCCATGCGGAATACGTGGCCCACTTTCGGGTCTACATGGATTTGTTGTGCATATTTGAGCCGAGTGTGTGTTTTCATGAGCACAAAGAAAACGCATTGAACCTGGTCAGAAACCTGTGTCGATGTGTAAATACTGCAGTTTATGTCACTTCTCTGAAGTATTTTTCACACATACTGAAAGAAGTGAGTATTCGCATTATTACAACTAACCAGACTGATCGACGGAGAATAGAAATTAAAAAAAAAAAAAAAAGAACAAGCCTAAATTACTTTAACTAGAAATCTTCATTGATCAACACTAAGACATTAAATTATCAGGCCAAAACATGGTTCTAGAATGAAATACAGCCTGGAACAAATTCAGTAATCACTGGAGGTAGATAAACATAACCCCAGGGACATTTCCCTTGAGTAATGAAGTATTTATGACTTATACAAATGCTGTTAAAGATTAATCAAGGTTACCACCGGTGGAGACTTTGTAGTTTTGCTTTTTTTTTTTAAATAATGCACAAGAAGGGGGTGCTCACCCCTCCTCAGTCTTAAAACAAATTAAAAAAAAAACTCTTGACGTTATATTACAATACATCTAATTTTAGTTAGCTTTTTTTTGGTTTTTTAATTAATTAATCATTTTTAATGTGTACATTTTTGTAACTTCACCACATTCCAGAGTTACATGTTTCCATTGCAGGTACAATTCTTGAAGAATCTAATAAAACTAGGCCAAAAAGCAGGTTCATCCACAGAGTCAAAATAAACAGCCCAGTTAAATTTAGCTCCAGAGGCAGATTCACTGTGCAGGTGCGTCTTGTTCACACACACACACACACAGAGCACACCTGACAACACAGCTGTTGGTCATAGACATAGTAAATGCCATGATGTCACATGAGAAATAAATGGATACACATTGACGAATGTTGAGAAGGAATTGCAAAATTAAATTGTTCATAAAAATGTTTTTACTAAAGGTAGTTTTTACCTTTGTTGAGTTATTGAACTGTTATCTGAGAGAAGCTCTTTTCACCTACCTCTCTGCATCCTCTTATAAACAGCCCGTTTTTCCAGGGATGTAATGATCCCTCTTTTTCTATCAGCTGTTTCTCCACACCTTCCAGGGCCCTTCATTTTTACAAGGTAAAAATAAATGAAACAAACACTTCCTTAATTAAAAACATTAGACGTTAAACTTCATATGCATCATCATTGTGCACACTTGACTAGTAATCAGTGAAGGTTCCTCTCATTATCACCTTACCTGAAACACAACACAATGGGTGAATGGAACTCTCCATGGTGCTGACTGCAGAAAAGGAGGAGAGGGGAAAGAGGCTGTGATGCATCATTAGAACTGCCAGTTTACATCGGTCTGCACTGCTTCGGCAAAACAGCGGTTGTTGCTCTTGCCTCACAGCAAAAAGATCACTGGTTCACTGGTTCAATTCCCTGGTCCTTCTATGTGGGCCTTGCACGTTCTCCCCAGGTGTACTCGGCTTTCCTCTGAGTCTAAAAACATGCAGATTTGGTTAATTAAACAAGGTTTAAAATGAGCATAGGCGTGAGTGTGGTTGTTTTTATATGTTGCCTTATGAATGACTGGTAAACAGTCGGTTCTAATGTCTGGCTCCAGTCAGGGGAGAGATATGAACACAGTTCTTGTTGCCTTTTGTTTCCATTCACTTTTGCTGATGTTTTACAAACAATTCAGCTTCAGAGACTCACTGCACTTCAGTTTACCTCAGCATTACTGTTATAGTGAAATGGTTGTGTTATTCCATTTAAATGAAATATACAGTAATAGAAAGAACTCTGAAAGCAGGCAATGTATTTGTGTCTACATACAGTATATATACACAGTATATACAAGTTCAAAAGCTAAAAGAGGTAGAAATGAAAGAGAGCCTTGGGCTGACTTCCCCTTTTTCTTGCCATTTAATAACATAGTCAGAAAGGCCTGGCATAAATCAGCACTGATTGTAATTATTTTCTGTCCTTTCACTGTGTGGAAGAGTTAAGGATTTAGGCAGTTTAAATCTCAATAAAAAATAAGCAGATTTACTGTCTCTTCCTTCACTATGCACTTTGAATAATTAATGCAGCTTTACGGATAAATACCACTTTCCCCTGCCCGTTCAACTTAAGCCAGTAATAGATGTGGCTAAAAAAGCTGCCATCTTTAAAGTAGGGATATCAGGCTCTATCTTTAGAAAAAACAACCATACTATATAGGTTACCTACCAGTCTGTAGGCTTTGGGAAGCGTGTCGTTCCTTAGCACCTGGATACATGAAATGATAATACTCAAAAACATCAGCTGATATATATTAGACACCAAACAATTGTGTTGATGGAACACATATATATATATCATCAGTGGTCCCAGGACACAGTGCTTTACATCTAGTGACGAAGAGACAAAGATGTGCCAACGCATTATGAAGTAAAAAAAGTTGTTGGAGGATTATTAAAAACATGATTTATTTTACCCCATGAATAATACATTCTTCCATGACTTAATGAAATCCATGATATTTTTTACAGCGGGAGAGCAGCTGACTTCTGCACACTGCTGCCATCTTGTGCAGCTTTAGGGAAGTGTAGTAGTTACACATCAGAAGTGATTTTTTTTAGCTAAATGTTGACAATTAAAAATAAACAGATCTTCTAGCCTATTGTTATTACTCTATCGTAAAGTCTCTTTTCTTCTTCCAACAGCAATTTACATTTTCATGTAAAAACGTATCAAAATATCTTTAAAAAAGCAAAAGGAAGGCAAAGTGAACACTGTACTGTTCTCTAACAGTTTTAACATTTTTAAACAAACGCTAGTTCTGACAACGTACACTGACAGGTGTATTAAATATAAAAAGAACAAGATTATACATAAAAACTTTTTTTTTTAAAAAAGAAAGAAAAAACGTTTTGAAATGGTCATGATAAAATGAGACACCTGTATTCTTTTATAAGATTTAAAACCATCATGATGTTTTGGCAACGAACCATGTTAAAATCAAATGATTATAGGTCTCTGTGGGAGATGCCACGACCAACATTAGCGTGTGTCTCCACTTATAAATATCTATTTAATTTGCATGTAAAAGGCCTGGTTCTAAAATGTGTCAACAGGTTGTTATATTTTAGAGAAAGTTTGAATAAAATCTACAAGTTGCCAGTTAGGGCCGAGTCCATGAGATCATCGTCTTCATTTCTCATGTACATGGGACTGGGCCGAGACGGACGCTCCGGGCCCAGCATGGACAAAGAGGACTCTGAAGCAGAGATGGGCGATCGAGACCAACTGTCTGATTTAATTGGATGTGAGGAAGGCCCCATGGACATGGACGACTTCTTTTTTTCCTTCTCTCTGTCTCGTTCTCTGTCTCTGTCTCTCTCACGTTCTCTTTCTTTTTGCTTCTTTTTCTCCTTCTTGTGCTTTTTGTGTTTCTCCCCTGAACTGAGGGTAATGGAGCTCATGTAGTCCTGGGGGGGTAGTGGTCGCATGGTCTGGTCGTCGTCCGAGCTGGGGCTGTTTTGGTGGGACTTCTCTGCTACCGAGCTGCTCCCTGACTCACTCTCACTGTCGTGGTTGAGCGGAGTGTATCCTGGTGAGCGGCTGTGGCTTGGAGAGGAGCGGTCGTGTTTGGGAGTAGAGCCACTGAAGAGAGGCGACGCTTTGAGACTGGAAATTTGGGGACGCATGGAGTCGCCAGATCCCTCGCCGGATTTTTGAAGCACTTTAGCCTTGATGCTTGGTGAGCCCCCGTCAGGTTTGCTAATAATGATTTTGGCCAGACCAGTTGTGCCCACCCCACCTGATTTTGGGTCCATTAGTTTTTTATCTCCACTGTTTCCCCCAGAAACTGAAACTTTTGCTTTAGCATCCTTATCAGAGCTTTCTCTCTTATATTCTCCACTTTGGGACGATGAGCCATGTTTGGAGGGCACCATGCTTGATGCTCCACTGCTGGGAACACTCCCAGAACCACCACCAGGAGCAGATCCTGAACCAGATCCTCCGACTGGTGGCCCAACCTCACATCCATCCTCCCCCAGTCCCCCTCCTCCTACACTCTTGAGTTTGTCTATGACTGCTGTAAGAGAAGGCTTCTTGTTTCGACTAGGTGATTTCCCTTTGGCATTGGGGTTGTTTGCATTGTTCTGATTTGCTGCCCCACTGCCCCCACCGCTCCCACTGCCCCCACCTCCTCCACCACTACCCCCACCTCCTCCATGTCCTCCGCCTCCACTATGTCCTCCACCTCCACTTCCTCCTCCACTCCCACTCCCATACTGAGTCTGAGAACCTGAGTAACCCATGGAACCAGAAGAAGAGGAGCTCGAGGATGATGTAGATGATGTGGAGCCAGAGGAAGAGCTTCCACCCATGGGCTTTTGAGAACTCATACCTCCACCAGAAGACTTGGACCCCCCAGAGCCACTGCCTCCTGAGCCCATTGGAGATTTAGCCTTGGAAGAAGGGGGGGTTCCCGGTACTTGAGACTGAGACATTTTCATAGGGGAGGACAATTTGTCACCAGATCCACCTGAACGGGAATGAGAAGGAGAGATGTTTGGCTTCATGTTTGGATTCATGAGGGACCCAGACGGCTTCCCCCCCTGTGGTTTTGATTTATTACTGCTGCCAATTCCACTTCCACTACCTCCAGGTCCAGACAGTCCATGTTTAGTGATCGGCGAAGATCCTGGTTTACCCACACCCATTCCTTGAGAAGAGCCTTTGGACTGGGAAGTGCCACTTGCGCCGCCTAGTCCACTTCCTTGCTTGGAGCTGCTTCCTTGTGTTACAGAGCCTTCCTTGGACTTGATCTTACCTGAGGAAGATGAGTGGGAATGATGGCTTTTGCTGCTGCTTGTCCCTCCTACACTTCCAGTGCTACTTGTGGTCAAACTGCTGGAAGTGTATCCGCTATGGGATGAAGTTTTCCCACCAGTGATTGTCCCTTTTTGGATCTGAATGGTGATTTTGGGAACTTTTGGAGGTGTGGCACCACCAGGGGGCGTTTGTGACCTTCCTGAACTACCAGGAGACTTGGAACCTCCTCCGCTCATGCTTCCTCCAGACCCTGAGCCACCACTAGGAGGTGTGTACGGTCGACCACCTGAGCTGTGTGATGGCGACTTTCCATCAGGGTCTAGTTTTTTGCGTTTTGGAGGCTTATCTTTAGACTTTCCCTCACTGGATGGAGTTCTGCTGCGTTTGATTTGTTTAACCTCAGTGGAAGTGCTGCCCATTCCAATACTAGAGTTGCTAGCTGCGCTTCCACCATTCTCATCCTTTGGTCGCATCAGTCCCTGTGGCTGTTTCACTTTGGGTTCTGCACTTTTAAAGTCACCACAAGCTCCAAGGCCCATCATGATTGGACTCTGAGATCCAGCACCATGTGTGTCTCCTAAATCCGGGGCTGGCCCTAGTAGTGGTTTACCACCACCACTGTTCCCTACAAACGTAATGCCTATATCAAAAGGGTCCTTCAGTGTAGGCTCTGGAGTGCTTTGCCCGTGTGGAGTCGGGTTCTGAGGTGTTCCTGATGGAGTATTTTGCTGGCTCCCTCCCCCAAACCCTTTGACAAGGTCTATGTCTCCATCAGCACTGGGGGAGCTGTCGTCAAAGTAAGTCTGAGAGAAGCCATGGCCGGAAGTCAGCAGGTCAGCATTAAAATCAGCGGCATCAGGAAAGAAGTTTGTAGAAGATGAATCGCTGTTGGGAGTGGCTGCCGTTGCGGCAGCCTCTGCGATCAAATCAGCAGCGTCAGTAAAAGGATTTTCGTTGCTGTTGGCACTGAAAATGTCTGCAGAGTCAAAAACTGTACTGCCTTGGCCTGAACTGGAGGAGTCACGGATGGGAGTACCGAGTGGGCCTCCATCCTCCCCACCGCTGACCACCGGGTGCTGTCCATGGTTGCCACTGCTAGGTTTGCCTGTCTGTTCTGGTAAATCTGAGAGGATCTCTGTGATATCAGCTCCAATGCTGTCAGAACTTGACAGTCGAGACATTCGAGGTGGTACAGTCCCAGGTGGTTGCTGCTGCTGAGACTGGATATGAGACTGTGAATAAGGCATGCCGGGGCCAGATGGTGGCGTTCCACCTTGGCTTGGTGCTGGGGTGATGCTGTGCGGTGTGTCTAAACCATCACCAGTCAGGTTAACATCAAATATAGAATTTTGAGATGCATCTACCATAGAAAGAAGCTCACGGTGGAAATCATCTTCATGTGTGGCTGCATGGTGCTGGTGATGCTGCTGAATGGAGGATCCTTGTTGTGATTTCATACCCATTCCACCACCTGGAGCACTTCCAGGCAACATGGCACCTTTCTCTGTTGGCCGTGGCCGCTTTTTCTTTCCCTTTGTGTTTCCCCCAGGACAGGCTGCTCCCATGCCCTCTGTCCGAGGGGAACCAGAGTTCTGTCTCTCTAATGGACTAGAACTGTACAGTGCAGCAAAATCTTGAGTGGGATTATCTTTTAACAAGTTCATCAACATTGGATGATTCTTAGTGTTGCTGGCAGGAGAGGAAGTTGGGGGCGGAGTCTGATGTGGTGGAGGAGCATTTTGAGAGCTGGGACTAGAACCCATATTTCCAGTGATTTGTAAAAGACTTGTCAATATGGGATTCTGGACAACTTTGCTGTATTCATCTGAATGAACCTGGCCTTGCTGCTGTGGCAGTTGATGTTGTCCAGCCACTCCACCCTGGTTAAGGCAATCTCCTCCTTGGGCTTGTCTCTCTGTTTGGGACTTCCCAAAGAGAATCATTGGATTTGGAAAATTAGGTCCACCGGCAGGACCTCCGGTTGGGGTGTTGCCTCCTGTGAGTCCAGGCATTTCCAAAGGATTTGCTATATCACCTGCTGCCATGTTGTACATAGGGCTACCAGATGGTGGAAGATTATTTTTCACCATGGTCGCCACAGTTTGGGCAATTAGCGACAGTGCTGGAGTGTCAGCCTGGATGGTCTCTGCTTTCCTCCGAATAGCCCGCATGGTCACAGGAATGGACATGCATCTAAAAGAGGGCAAACAATATCTATTATTTTTTCAAACCAATAAAAAAAGTCTGAATGAAAAACTGAAAGACCTGAAACGCACCTCTGAACCACTTTAGTGATAAAGTCATCAGTACAGATTAAGGCATCTGATGGACCTTTATACAGCCGGCAGGACACTTGTCTGGAGTCAATCACCTCCATCACCACTGGGAGTCGAGTGGGACAAAAATAGACAATAAGAAAATAAATCCTTACATCAAATATGCAGTAGTAGTATAAATTCCAAAAACATGTGAACTCACCACAGACCAGTGATTCATTGACTGGATGCTGGAATGAAACACTGAAACTTGAATCAGTGAGAGGACATACTTCAAACTGCAGCAGGCCAGCACTGTCTGCAGGAAAAACAACAAACCACATATCACATTTACTACAGGACAAACAAAAAGACAAACAAAGTTCATCAAGGAGCTACATCCATACCTTCTTTGATAGGAGTCTGTTTTACACAGCTGCCAATCAATGTGTTATAGGCAGCCTGATGCCGGATGATATCTAATAGATGTGGCACTTGTGCCGGGTGGCGAAAGGGGATCTTGGAAACCAGTGCTCCTTGGAGAGAATGTCCATCTTGAACTGGGGCATCGCCATTCAGGAAATAACAATGTTGCTGATCAGGCAGCACCTGAAAGAATGAAGAGTCATTCATTTGGCCTTGTCCACACAACCCTTAAGGTTTCTTAGACAAATCATTGTCTTAAAATTTCTAAATATGTTTAAAAAGACAAAAGCAGGAAATTGAACCTTGGACAAAATCACCAAAAATGAAATAACAATAAAGTGCTCACAGAATAGAAGTGCATGTTGTGGGAAGGTGGAGGTGTGGAGCTGCTCTCTTCCAGGAGTTGGAACTGGCTCTGGACGATTAACTGGTAGAGAGGTGAGAGGCTTGGTGGGGTCTCAAACACTGGGATTGCTAAGATAAGGAGAGACATACGCTTAGCTTAACTCCTAAAAAAACAACCCACAAAAATATATTTAATCAAAACCACGTATATTTATATAAGATTTACTTACCAGAAGCATAACCCATCCTTTGAATAAATAAGAGTGAAAAGGGCATGGGGCGGGTCAGCTTGAGAAAAAAGCAAGCAGGCAGATCCACACAGTTGGAGTTGGTCACAGTGGAGAAGGAAGGGGTCCTTAAATGAGAAAAATAAGAAGAAATGATCAAAGACAGAGCACAGTTATCTCACACTTCTATGGAACCAATGTGATGGATAAAAACCCTTAACCAAAAGATAGGACCTTTACCCTTTGTTGTCCACAGGGTGAGATCCAGTAATGAGTGGAGCAATTGGGAGCTTGTAGACGGCGACGGTTCCCTCAATTGTGACAGACACGCTGATGCCTAAAGAGCGGGGAACTGCAAAAACAAATTAAACCAAATAAAAAACTTTTTCAAAAACATTTTCAAAGGCTTACTGATGGTGACCACACAGTTGGAGTTGGTCACAGTGGAGAAGGAAGGGGTCCTTAAATGAGAAAAATAAGAAGAAATGATCAAAGACAGAGCACAGTTATCTCACACTTCTATGGAACCAATGTGATGGATAAAAACCCTTAACCAAAAGATAGGACCTTTACCCTTTGTTGTCCACAGGGTGAGATCCAGTAATGAGTGGAGCAATTGGGAGCTTGTAGACGGCGACGGTTCCCTCAATTGTGACAGACACGCTGATGCCTAAAGAGCGGGGAACTGCAAAAACAAATTAAACCAAATAAAAAACTTTATAACATTTTCAAAGGCTTACTGATGGTGATGCTCCTTTTCCCTCACACTCACCATTTTCTGTTAAGTTTAGCTGTGCTCCCTCCTCAAATATGTCATAAGGGGACACGTAGCATTGAAGAGAAACAAGATTGCCGCCACTCCTCGCTGTCAATAAACCCACGCTGCCATGAAGTATAGTTTCCACTGCATTTGCATTGGTTGCCAACCTATGAAAACAGCGTCAAATAATGGCTTTGTGGTCTGACTAACTGTATAATAATCATTCAATAGGACTTTTGAAGTTCAATTTAACATTGCATTTGCTTTATATATTACAGCTTTACATAGTTATACACTTATAATTGATAAGTATAATGTTAAGTTTACACATACATTTGTAGAGTACATATACCTTTGATTGTGTATAATTACCTAAACATGTGCATCATCTTGGTGAGATCAAGCTCCAAAGACTGCAGTGCTATGTACATCTTGGTTTTCATCTTACTGGAAAGGAGGATTTTTTTTTTTAAGTTTGAAAGTCAAAACCAAAGAACATCAGTGTTTTAATCAGTTCAAGTTGAGGAACTTTTTTCACTCTTTCGACCTTTAGGTCCACTTACTCATCGCCAGGGAGCTTGTACAGTTCAACGAGTCCTTTCAGGTGTTTGGAGAACTCTTCAAAGTTCTTCTCTCTTACATGACATGCAGACGTAAAGGTATTTTAGAAACAACATCTGCAGTGAATCAACAACTTCTCATGTCTATTATTAATTAATTCAAATTTGTATTTTCTACAAACCTTAGATGCTGGATCAGCTCGTGGCAGCTCTGTAACAACAATAAAAGGACAAAATACATTATTACAGTGTTTCTCATTTCAAAGAACTCCCATTAGTTTTAATTCCATCTTTCAAGTTAACTGGTAGCACGAATGTAACTCCTGAGAGATTAATAAAGTGCTATCTGTCTATCTATAACTGCCCTCTACTTTCTACACGTGTGTCACCACAAGGTGGTGCACTAGAACACATTTATTCAGATAAACCTGGACAGTAAAGTGAACTGACCGTAGGGTTCTCCCTCTGGTGAGCCACCTTGACGTCGACTAGCTGGCCAGCAGGGTCTAATTGGACTTCTACATAAAACATGTCTGATGTGAGAAAGCACTCAGTTCCTGATGGGCTGACATGAGACAGCAGCCTGGAAAAATGAGACACGAAGAATACAATGTTAGAGAAAGAAACTAGAAAAAGAGGTATTTCCTGTTCTAGTTCGAAAACATGCATGTTTCAGGTCAAATGGTCTAAAAAATAGATCAGGATATTACTTTTAGTTTATTAGTTTATATATTATCTTGGTGAAGTATACATATATATATACTCTATATAGAAAGAGAGTCATACAGGTTTTGACGAGCGATTGATTCTAGGCGGTCCGTCATGGAAGGCAGTGATGAAACTGCAAAAAAACAAAAAACAAAGAAAGAACTGTATGATAACATCATCCAACCAGATTGATATTGCATTACAATACACATAACTACAACAACAAAGCAACAACATAACTTGTATGTAACTACTGCACAACAGCGTCAAAACATAATGCCTTCTGCCATTCAAGTCCAATCAATTTCTTATTTTTAACTATATACAGCTAGGCACTAAATACCTCTGTTGTAAAACTCCATGGAAAGATAAATCACTTCCCTGCTCCCCTTCATGTTTTTGTCCTCTAAGTTGCCAGACTCACCTTTCAATGCTCTCTGCAGGGTCTCCAGACAGGTGAGCAGGAGCTGGTGACCCGCAGTGTTCATCGCGCCTCGTTTCTCCTGTGGCATTGAGGGCAAAAGTAGAAACAAAAAACGAGGGCTTGAGAAATATTAAAGTGCTTCATCAACAAGTTTGTGTTTTACGTTTTAGTC